GAGCAAAGTTGCAAAATGGGGGGTGAGTGACCGTTTTTGGCCTGAAATACCCCTTATATAATGCGCGTAAAACGGCGTCGTTTTGCTCAGGGACTTTCTGCGTAATTTCGTTCATGGGTAAACTATGTATCCGCTCCCTGGAACCTGTAATGCTTACGTTATAGTCATTGATATTAGCTTTTATTATTTTTAATTCTGACTTCAAATTTCAGGCGTATCTTATTTCAGTCACTAACAATTCCTTTTTTTTATTTTTTTGGGCCAACGTTTTTCATTTATTTAGCATTTTTTTTTAATTTTTCTTTTCCGTTCCCTTTTAATTATATAAAATTTATTTATTATCCTTTGTCTAACATTTCGATTGTTTTTTTAGAAACTTCAGTCAATCAAAAGTAAGCTTTCCACATCGAATAATTTTAATTTTAATTTAAATTTTCTAATTTTCGCATTTAACGACAACCTAAAAATTAATTGGTACCGAAAGGGCGGTTCAAGGGTGCTAATCCTTCCTTGACCGTAACCGACTCCCGAACCCGACAAATTTCTGGAAAAGCGCAGATCAGGTAAGAAATAGGGTATCCGATCAACCCATTTATTTTAAAATAAGTGGTCGGTGGCGACTCCAATTCGTTTAATCCAAGTCGAAGCCCAATTCCGGGGCACGACCGAAAGACGGTTACGACAGAGGGTAAGGCATAGGATAAAGGAGGGATTCTTTGTCCCCATCGACTCCTCCAAAATGAGTTTTGGTTTTCTTCTGCAGATAGCGAGAAAAACAAAACGTTTCAACATCCACAACCCATAGTTTTCAGAGCCTGTTGTCAACATCCGAGAGGATTCATAAATACAATTTGTGATTTAAGCAAAGTCTATATTTTGATTAATTTACATGCAAATTATGTTTTACGTCACAAGCCACAAAATGAAAGTGGATTTGCCAACACAGCCTTGGACGAATTCCGTCGATGGGTCATAATCGCTGTTATTTTTGTGATCATAAGGTCTAATCATGGTCGAGACAGCTAAATCGCAAATTAGAGGGTTAATCATGTTAGGTGCGGTGGGGTCGAACCATGCAGGCTAGGTGTTACGTCTTAATTAGTTCGAAATTGGGGGCACATAGAATAATTTTAATTTCGGAAAGGGTTAGCTTTGGCAAAACAAAACAAGGCCGGAGAATCAAATCTCCAAAGATAATTTGATGTGATTAAAAGGTGCCCGTTGCCTTTCTTTGAATTTCACGACACAGTTTTCCTTTTTCATTTCCACACTAAAAATATTGATTAAACTTTTCTCAAATAATGTTATGTTTATGAATATCTAGGACGATTGGAGCAGTCCTTCATCTAAAAATTTTAAAGTATTATATATTTTATATATTCTTTTTATATTTTTCATTAATAATTTGTTTTATCCTATAAAACTTATAAATGAATTCTCTTTAAAGTTTTAAAAGTTCACCCTTAACATAAAATTTTACGTTCTTCCAGTCTCGATTTTAAAAGCAGTCGATCAACTATGCGCAAGGTTCTTCTGGAAAGGTGAAGATAAAACTGCAGCAGGAGCTCGGGTAAGCTGGGATAGTATGTGCCTCACCAAATCAGAAGGTGGTTTAGGTCTGATTAACACATCTATGTGGAACCGAGCATGCACTATAAGCCTCATAAAAAAGGTTCTTGCTGGTAATGGCTCATTGTGGGTTGCGTGGGTTCACAATTACGTTCTTGAAGGGCAGGATTTCTGCATTTCGAGGTTGGAACAAACGTTAGTTGGGGCCTCAAAAGAATCTAACTGAGACCTACTGCTTTTCCTTTAATTGCTTCTGGTTTCATGCGAACTAAGGAAATCTGTGAGAACATTCGAATGCAAGTGCAGAAGGTTATGTGGCAACGTCTAATATGGTATCCTATGCATATTCGTAAGCATAGCTTGATTGCTTGGATGGCCATTTTGAATAGATTACCTACCAGAGATCGTTTACAAAAAATGGGAATTTGCACATATGGACTTTGTTTAAACTGTAACACTCATCAAGAAACCAGAGATCATCTTTTCTATAATTGCTCCTTGGCTGCTGGTATATGGAAATCAATTCTTATCAAGAATGGAATGAACTGTTCTACTTTGACTTGGGATGATATGGTAACTCGTGCTTGTTCCTCTTGGAAAGGAAAGTCCCTCTTAACCACCATTTTGAAGATTTCTTGGAATGCTTTCATCTACTTCGTGTGACAAGAACGGAACCAGAGATTATTTCAAGGCCATTTCCGTTCTACTGACGTTATTCTTAAAGAAATTGTTGACGTGGTTGCAATTCGTCTTAGGGGCAAGACCATAAATCGACTAGATAGTACTAACTTATTTCTTTGTAATGCTTGGGGTATAGTCTAGCCAATCATTGGTTGTGTAATTAGACTGTTTTTGTTTTGTTGATTGGTTGTAGTTAAATCTTGCTATTTTGGGTAATAAAAATCCGAATTATCAAAAAAAAAAAATTACGTTCATATCTTATTATATTTGTTTTTCACTAACTTCCGTGCAGCAAGAAACCACGAGGGCATCTTAGGCGAGGCGTGAGATTAATCAACCTAATTAAAATGAAAAAAAAATGTTTCGAAAGGTAAGTATCTTTGCTGCCGGTTGTTACATGAAGGCAGGATTAGGAATGGGGATGCGATCGAACGCCAGATTCTCCAGTATTTACACTTAATTCTTTCTTCTTTTTTTTAGATAATTACTTGGTAACCACCGACCTAGATATGCAATTAAGTCATTCGCATAATAACAAATACTTTGTGTTGTTTAAGTTTTTTATATCAAATTTTGAATAATTATTTTTGTTGCACTTAATTTGACTTGTCTATATATGTAAAAAAAAAAAAAGACTTGTCTATAGATCAAATAATTCGTCTTAATTTTAGGTTCGGTATAGGTAAATATATTTTCCTTTCAGGTCGGCTTAACTTGAATATAAACAGAATAAAATACTTTTTTTATTTAAATTTAATTAAAAAATATTTAAAATATTATGAATATTTATTTTAAATAATTAAACGAGCTTGAATAGGTTGAGTTCGAACTTTATTTTGTTCAATCCGATCCATGAACAATTTTATTACAAATAAAAATATTTTTTCTTTTCAATTCAAAAGTATTTAGATTAGAGAAAATAACCTCAGTGACAAAAAATGCCTTATAATATACGATTTTAACCAACTTTTTTTAGATTTGCCAAAATGACCAACTAAATCGCAATGCGATCGATAATTCGCAACGCGATCTCCGGTATCGCAAATCAGTTTCCAGATTCGCAACGCGAACTTGGACTATCGCAATGCGAACTTGGACTATCGCAATGCGAATATATAAATCGCAATGCGATAGTCGAAGTTCGCGTTGCGATAGTCGAATTTGGAATAAATCGCAACACGAACTTCGACTATCGCAATGCGAAACTTGGACTATCGCAATGCGAACCTCGACTATCGCATTGCGATTTACATATTCGCATTGCGATAGTCCAAGTTCGCATTGCGATTTATTCCAAATTCGTTGCGCTAGTCGAAGTTCGCGTTGCGATTTATTCCAAATTCGTTGCGATAGTCGAAGTTCGCGTTGCGATTTATTCCAAATTCGTTGCGATAGTCAAAGTTCGCGTTGCGATTTATTCCAAATTCGTTGCGATAGTCCAAAATCGCAACGACTGGTGGTATTGCATTTGTTTCTTAAAAATTTTCTCTAAAAAGATAGTATTCGCGCGGACGTGTCGAAGACACGTATTACCACGACCACGACCCGACCTGAGACGAGACGAGACGGACGGCGGCGCACGAGAGTCCCCCTTATTCTCTATCACTCAACAAGGAAGTGGGAAAGCCAAGCCTTAAATACCATTCCCAATAGTGTTTCCAATACTATGTGGGATTGAGCATTACCAACACTTGTTTGCGATACCGGAGATCGCGTTGCGAATTATCGATCGCATTGCGATTTAGTTGGTCATTTTGGCAAATCCAAAAAAAGTTTGTTAAAATCGTATATTATAAGGTATTTTTGGTCATTGAGGTTATTTTCTCTTTAGATTAAGGCTTACTAGATCTTTCTCCTTATATTTAGTTAGTTTTTTTTCCATTTTATCCATGTACTACAATTAAGATACATGCATAAGAGTAGTTACATGCATAAAAAAAGATACATGCTTAAAAGCAGTTACTTGGATGGCAAGTTTATGGTGCTTTAACTGAGTTAATTAGGTATTAGTTAATTATTTATTTAAGATAGTTTTATTTTTATTGTTAGATTTAGTTTTTCTTTAGGAGTAAACTACCTTCTCCAATTAGATAATCTGATAATTAAATTAGATTGATTTCAAAATATGTTGATCTAGATAATCTGATAATTAAATTAGATTGATTTCAAAATATGTTGATCTCTGTGTTGATTTATTCTTTTTCACCGCGTAGATTTCTAAAGTAGGGTTTTGTTTGTGAAAAAAATATTTAGGGATCTATCGTTACCGGGGTTTTCCATTGGATTAGAGGGTTTTTCTCGTAATTGTTTTGAATGTCTATGTATGCTTTGGCGGTCCGACGAGATTTATGGTGCAAATCCGGTCGGAAAATAGGTTGAGACCACTACATTTTGTGTGATTTTGAGAAGATTTGGTCGGCTGAATTTTACAAAATTTAGGGGATGACGGAGTGAGCGAAATTGAAGGATTCTTGAATAATAAAATTTGATGGGGTTAGATTTTAGATAGGATGGGAGTAACAGCTGGGTAAGATGAGATTTTAGAAGTTTGGGCAGATTGAGTCTGTTTGGGACTGTGATGGAGATCCGGGCTGAGATTAGGTAGATGGATCGGTTTTGGTTGTGTTTTGGACTTAGTAAAGGAACAAATGGGTTTGGGCCCGTCAAATTTATAGTGTACAGTAACTATAACTATTATGGGTTAACTCCCTTTCAGAAACCCATAAATGACTGTTTCAATGCCTTGATGTCGGGCAGCAAAAGTTCAAGTGGCTCATTCAAATCATCCACAAAAATCACATTCAATGTAGGAAAAGGGAACAATTTTGGAAGCATTAGACTTCTGGTTTTAGTATTGAACGAATACGTCGCAAAATTTGTCATATTTGTGGAGGAGACTATAGTCAAAGACCAAACCCATCAGTTTCTATACATGGAATTTGGACAGGTCAGTTGCCTGTAACTTGGCAACCTTATTTGACCCCTCTATTTAGTGTTCTCTCATTGGCCAGTCACCTACCAATCCACCTCCCTACTTCACCCATACTTTACTACTCTGTTTATTTGATGTTATTTTCTTTTTATTTGATTCTCTATATTAATCCCATACTGTATTGCTACGGTGGTTGACCTATCTCTCACCTCTCGGAACTACCATTTTTTTATTATTCTAGTTATTGACATTGGTATATAATAACTCTGGTGGTTTAGTTTTCCCATTCCTCAGGTTTCATATTGACAAGACTCAAACAACTTCATATTCCTTGAGACCCCTTTAAAAGTGAGTCATTACAGAGACGATATGGAAATGGATAGCATAGAGATGGATAAGGAGAGGCTGACGGCGGAAATGGCTTTCACAGACTCCACCTCAGCCGTCATCAAGATCCGGCGGAGAGTGCCTGATTTCTTGCAATCTGTGAAGCTTAAGTATGTCAAGTTAGGTTATGGTTATTCATACAACCCGGCGATGATACTCATGTTTGTTGCTCTAATCATACCACTTTCCATTGCAACTCTGGTTCAGTTCAATGCCGTAAAATGGGACTGGATTTCGGAGTTATGGACCAACCAAGCCCTTCGGCTCGAGGGCGTTGATGCTGCTACAAGACTGGCTGCTTCACTTGTTGTATTCTTTCTCCTTGGTCTCTACTTTGCGAAGCGGTACAGGCCGGTTTATCTCGTTGACTTCGCTTGTTACAAACCTGAAGACGATCGTAAATTGTCAGTTGACTCGTTCCTCAAGATGACGGAAGATAGCGAGCTTTCACACGGAGGACACGCTTCAATTTCAAAGAAGGATATCAACTAGATCCGGTTTAGGCGATGAGACGTATTTCCCTCGAGGAATAACATCGAGTCCACCAAATTTATGCATGGAAGAAGCTCGAGCTGAAGCTGAAGCCGTCATGTTCGGAGCACTCGACTCGCTTTTCGAGAAAACCGGAATCAAACCGGAGGATGTTGACATCCTCATCGTGAATTGCAGCTTATTTAATCCAACCCCATCTCTCTCAGCCATGATAGTCAACCACTACAAGCTACGTACAGATATCAAGAGCTACAATCTTGGAGGAATGGGGTACAGTGCAGGGCTTATATCAATCGAGCTCGCTCAAAACCTCCTTCGAGCAAATCCTAACATGAATGCCGTAGTGGTAAGCACCGAGAACATTACCCTGAATTGGTATTTCGGCAATGATAGGTCCATGTTGCTATGCAATTGCATATTCCGCATGGGCGGAGCCGCCGTGCTGTTGTCGAACAAGGCACGAGACAAGGCTCGTTCCAAGAACCAGCTCCTTCACTTGGTTCGAACCCATAAGGGTGCGGCTGATAAACATTACAACTGCGTTTACCAAAGAGAGGATGAAAAAGGAAGAGTCGGGGTTTCATTGGCTCGTGAATTAATGGCGGTGGCTGGGGAGGCATTGAAAACCAATATCACCACTTTGGGTCCACTTGTTCTACCATTGAAGGAGCAGTTCAAGTTCTTCGTTACCCTTGTTCGAAAGAAGATTTCAAAGGCCAAAGTTAAGCCTTACATACCTGATTTCAAGCTTGCTTTCGAGCATTTCTGCATCCATGCGGGTGGAAGGGCGGTTTTGGATGAAATACAGAAGAATTTGCAGCTAACAGATTGGCATATGGAGCCTTCGAGGATGACTCTACATATATTTGGGAATACTTCGAGTAGCTCCCTGTGGTACGAGTTGGCTTATACGGAAGCCAAATGTAGGGTATCGGGTGGAGACCGGGTGTGGCAGATTGCATTCGGGTCGGGTTTTAAGTGTAACAGTGCTGTTTGGAAAACTCTTAGGTCGACTCCCATGGGCGAGTCCAGGGGTAACCCGTGGAAGGGTGAAATTGATAAGTATCCACTGAAGGTTACTCTTGCTTGATAGTGGACTCCAATTCATGGATGCCAATTTCTGTAATTTCTTATTTCCTCTGTAATTCATCGGTAGTTCAAGGATTTTATATTCACTGCTTAACTATGAATGAATACATCTTGGGTCAATTTCTGTTCATAATTTTCAATTATAATAATAATATTTTTAAAATTTAAGTTTTTTTTTGAAAACATAAAGAATGTAATGTTCTTTCCAAATAAATTGATTTAATGTTTACTAATATGGATGCTATTTTTTAGTTTTTACGTCCATAAATTTAACCACTATTGAATAAAATACTATAACTTGAAACGGCAACGCACTTGCTTTCATGCTGCGATCCATTTCTTTTAGAGTCGAAAATCTTGACTATTTCGACTTTTGGGATTGTCGGTTCATAATGTCATTAGTATTTTAAGTAATCTTCCTTGTGGATGATATACTATAAGTATAAGAAGAATCTCGTGGATACTGATTCTCTTATCGTGATAGTAGTACGACGAAGTTATATTGGTGGATTCATTCTACTCATAGTCACATTCAATATTGATGTTGTTAGCACCGTAAAAAGCATATAAATTTACAACTATTGCTTTCTCTCTGGGTATGGTCCAACTGGTATCCATGGTATGGACTTCTACGTTGTTCTTGAACGAGCTGGGTACCTTGTGGGTCGTCGTAGGTGCAAGTCACGTGTTGTCATTCAGCACAGGGTTACTAAGGAAGATGCTATGAAGTGGTTCCAAGTCACATATGAAGATGTCATCCTTAACAAATCTCAAAACATTGGAGCTTAGGAGTAGTAGTTTATGATCTAAGTTAAGTTGTTCCGAGTTTTGGTAACTCGATTTTGGATAGTTTCTGTGTTTGTTATTGTTTTCTTGAAGAGATTTATGATCGACTTTACAAATCTTTACAACTTTTTTCTGTTGGTTTTACATTATTAATGTATTCATAACGACTATGACCGCAATGGATGGACGTGGGTAAGAAAAAGCGTGGGCAGTGAGTTTTACTTTCACGTCCTCGTGATCTCTGAAGTTAACTTACAAGTCCCAAAATATGCAATCCCGTATTAGCTTATTGTGCCAAATGTACCATTTCCTAATTGCTCTATCAGCAGAATCCAAGTGAGCCCTGGGGCTTGTTCTTTACATGTGCATTTACAGCATCTTAATGGAAACTTCATATTTACTTTGTTTCCCATGTTAATATCAACAGCACATTCCACAAAAAATAAATTCAGACAATTCTTAGCCATGGATGTCATTGCAGAAGCTGAACAACAGCCAAAAAAGAAAAATAAAAATAAAACACGATTCCATTGACGGGAATTGAACCCTGGTCTCCTGGGTGAAAGCCAGATATCCTTACCACTGGACGACAATGGATTACTAATTGAGCGTTTATTATTAAGTGTTATATTCATTACAATATATTATCGTGTTGAAATGAATCCAAAACAGAAAACAAGAGTGATTTGAGTTTAGAAACTAAACTGGTTTCAACATTAAGACATGGCCACTGGCTACTGCAAAGATATATAGTTCATTTGCTTGCAATATTTTAACATCATTATCCTTAGTAAACATGCAGCAAAAGTTAATAATCCCCTATAACTAGTAATACAGAACATCATTGACATCCCAATCTTAATTGTTTTGTAAAAATGCAGTACAATAATGCCCTGGTAAAAAATTCGAATGTTAATTGAACCGATCTTTTGCCCGAACTCCTACTCTTAGGCGCCTTTTCAACAAGATTCTACAAAACCAAAGTTTTACGCACCGTTAATGTCGTTCTTAGCTTGAACAGCAACCTCCTTTCTTCATCGCGGAGACATCTTAGCCGACGTCAATTTTATCACCTTTGGAGGGAACAGCTGAGTTAGCCCCTTCTTCGCTTGTCTCCATGGCTTTCTTGCTCATGACATGGTAGATTTGTGTAAGAACTTCGGTGAATGCATTTTCAACATTTGTAGCTTTGAGAGCGGAAGTTTCCATGAAGTAGGACTCTTTCTCTGCAATGGACTTCCCGTCCTCGGTCGAGATGGTCACAAGGTGACGAAGATCTGATTTGTTTCCGATGAGCATGACAACCATGTTGGGGTCAGTGTGATCCCTTAACTCTCTTGACTCTTAGTCACCTCTCGACGTTAATGAACGTGGAGTGTCGAGTAACATCGTACACAAGAAGTGCACCGACAGCTCCTCGGTAATAGGCATTGTTATGGCACGATACCTATCGTTTTGAAGAGACAGTTAAGAAAACAACACAAAAACAAGCATAAGAAGTATGGAACATATAGATTTCTAACCCTCATTTCAGCACAAAAGAAATATGTTTGCATGTACAACGAGAGCCCGTTGTCGCTAAAACATGGTGCTTCAGTGACGTGTTTGTTTGATAGGACATAAAACTTAACGAACCTCAGAAAACCAATCACATGTGGTGCTTCCACCATTCTTCTCGACCTATCCTCGCCTCTCACTTCCCCTTCTTTCTGCCGGTCCAAAGAAGGGGAGGACGATGCTTTAGTAGCCTTACACCCTACTAAAACAGGGAAACCAAAACCGAGCCAGGCATTGATACCATCCACATTTATAGTACATTTGTGCTCTAAGGCCCAAGGGACTTTTCATATCGAAATATTTTCCAATTTTATATGCTAAAATTATCAAAATTATTGTTAAGTCGACACTGGTGAAAATATTTGTAGGCTATATAATATCATCGAATTCAACTAGGGACGAAGTTAGGGGAAATCAGGAGCAAAAGTTCATTTTAACCCTTTTAGCCCTTTAGTTAAATCGAAAAATTATATTTTGATCCCTTCCATAAACAAAATTATTTGTATAAGAAATCACACATACTCACTTCTCTAGCACATACGGATAAAAGAACAAACAATTTACCGAAACAAAACTCCTTCCTTGTAACGATACCAAAATTATAAAAAATACATGATTTGATTTATATATTTAATCATACTTTCTTAAGATTATGTGAATATTAGTATTATTCCGTCAATTATATTAACCGGTAACATAATGTTACATATTAATATTATCTTTATTTAATTTGATTTAATATATTTATAATAATCGTAAAACATATATATTAATATAATTTAATATAATAATAACAATTAATTACTCTAGTAGGATGAGACACTATATTTTTTAGGGTTTGAAACAAGTTGTTATATCAAAAAAAAATATAATTTAATATAATCTTTTATATGCAATGAAACGAAGATACTCTTCAATTATTACATTTTATTGAAATATTGTACAATAAATCCAATCGGATCAGATTCTATTATGTTCATTTTCATTCTTTGCAAGAGGTCTTCATTTTCATGGTGGAAACTTCAATTCTAAGAATAACCAGTTTTTTTTTTTAATGTCTAAAGTAAATCTTGCCTTGTGTGCATCATCCTTGATAATATTGTGAAGGACATTAGGGAAATCAATTGGCCACAACACTGCATCATCTTCGTCCACACGCATCCTTGAAAGATAAATCATTGCTTTATTAGTTTCGTGCCATGAATGTGTCCTGTGGTAGTCTTCAAACATAGCTAATAGATTTCGAATTTAACCAAGTATCGATCAACCTTCGGATCATATGATTGCTCTCTGTTAAGGGTTTTAACAACACTTAGTGAATTGGATCCAATACAAATTATACTAATTGCTAAATATAAAGCGAGCATAAGATTTCTCCATACGTCCAACAGTTCAATCAAGAAAATATTATCCTAAAAATATTTTGTGACGAAAGCACATAATGACTTATCCTTGTGGTCTCAAAGTAAACCACCAAACCCCGAATATATCCCCAAACTATAGACCCATTTGTATTTAATTTCATACATCCTAATTCTGGACTTTTTCATATACACCATTTAAAAGGTGGTGTGACGATAAGAGAAATACAGTCAGTCGCTACATGTAATTTTTCAATCTTAGAATTACATTTGTATAAAGTTGACAACCTCTGAATTATTGGAACTTGAAATAGGCTTGTTTAGAATCCTTTTGTCAAATCTAGGATAATCATTATTATGATAATTAATGGTGGAATTCGGAACTTAAATAAAATGATTTTCGATTGAAAGTGAATAAAAACCTTTGAAATTATTGTAACTGTAAAACACCGTAGTCATTGATGGGTTTTTAGAAATAGAGGGTTAATATTTAATAAAGTGAGAGTTTTGGTTTATATTAAAAAGATGAATATGTGTTGTTATGTGAATGATTAAAATTTTAAATGTAATGAATTTTAATCATATTATTGGTAAAATATTTAAAATTATAGAAAAAATGAACTAATTTATTAAAAGTAAAATTATTAAATTCAATCTATCTTAATGACGTACTAAAGAGATGGAGTGTGAAGAATAGCAGGCTGCTGGGATTCAACTTTCAAATCTGTTCAAAGACCAAGCCCAAGAAACTCGAGCTTTGTTATGCATTGAGGTTGCTACTGGCTACGTATTTCCCTGCTCTGTGCCTCCATCCGTCAATTTTTACTGCTTGCTCAGCTCCTACCACGTGAAACCACGAGAGGTGTCCAGTCCAGCTGTTATTAATTTTTAATTTTCCCAGAATGAAATAAGGCAAGGCAAGGCAAGCTGTCTCCTTTAAGGAATGATTATGCTTAAAAGAAAATAACCCTTTGGCTTTGATTTTCGTGCAAACTCAACTTGCTTACTTATATTTCCAATTATCTAATCTGGGTTTTAACGTTTCTCGATAACCCATCACACCCTGTTTATCACCTTCTTAATTGATTAAGCAACTAGCAGTTTTAATATTTAATATTATGTTTATTTACATGCAAAATTTGTTTGACGTACTACGATTCTGACACCACCGCTATTAAAAATACAAACGCCAGTTGAAGCTTAGATTAGATAGATGGATATGACTGTAGATATATTGAATATTGGATGAATCTAAATCTGTTGGTTCCGTCGGCTTCCTTCTCCCTCGGGCAAAACATTTGTTATCCGTCGTTAAAATAAGTGACCACTGTCATTCTATTTAAACAAAAAATCCATAATATTCCCATCATCTTCAACTTTACAGTTCTGGCTCTTTCTGCTCTTAATGCACTCCTGGTAATTTAACCATTTATCTTTTCTCATGGGGAAAAAAGGTGGGGCTTCCTGGTTGAATGCTGTGAAGAGGGCTTTTAGATCTCCAACTAAAGAGAGTCGTGATAAGAAAAGTAACCGAAAAAAGGATGAACCTGATCACCCAGAAGAAGATGAAGAACAAAAGGTTTGTATTTGCTAATTGTAGTATGAATGAAACAGAAGCAGATGGAGTTGTTGGTTTTTTTAATGGCTCTAATTTAAATAGAATTCTTGATCTGTTTACTGATTTTTGGTAGAAGAAAGATAAGCGACGGTGGATCTTTAGGAAACCCACGATTCAACAGCCGGTGTTTCATCAGCAAACAACGCTACTAGTGACGGCAGCAGACGAGGCTGTGGTGGTGGCTACTGAACAGGCTGCTCCGCTGATTAGACCTTCAAATTATGCTAGGGAGCACCACTATGCTGCCGTTGTTATTCAGACGGCTTTTAGAGGCTACCTGGTATGAAAATTTTGTTTCTGCAAAATATTTGTTCTTGGAGTTTAGCATATTATTAGAATTTCAAAAATTTTTAAAAAAAATTCTGTCTTTTTTAACCATGGAAACAATGTAATCGGTGATTGTGAAGGCAAGGAGAGCTTTTTGTGCACTAAAAGGATTAGTGAAGTTGCAAGCTTTGGTAAGAGGTCACAATGTGAGAAAGCAAGCCAAGATGACACTCAGGTGCATGCAAGCTCTGGTTAGAGTGCAGTCTTGTGTTCTTGATCAAAGAATGAGGCTCTCGCATGATGGAAGCCGAAAATCGGCCTTCAGCGACACGAATAGTGTACTCAATTCACAGTATATTCAGGACATTTCAGACAGAAGATCACTAGTAGTAAGTAGTTTC